AAAAATGACAAAGTCATTCTTATTTATGTCTGAGTAATAGTCCACGTGTATACAGACCACGTTTTCTTTATCCATTCATCTACTGAAGGGCACCTAGTTTGGTTCCATAGCATAGCTATTGTGAATTGAGCTGCTATAAACATCGATGTGGCTGCGTCACTGTAGTATGCTGATTTTAAGTCCTTTGGGTATAAACTGAGGAGTGGGATACCTGAGTCAAATGGTGGCTGCATTCCACGTTTTCTGAGGAATCTCCATACTGCTTTCCAGAGTGGCTGCACCAATTTGCAGTCCCACCAGCGATGGACGAATGAACCTTTTCCCCACATCCTCGCCGACACTTATTGCTGCCTGTGTTCTTGATGATTGCCATTCTGACTGCAGTAAGATGAAAGCTCTGTGGAGTTTTAATTTGCATTTTTACTTAATGAAGTACATACTCCCACTTTTCCCCTAGTTCCTCAAATTTGTAATTTCCTCCTTCTCCTGTACTCGTTATTTTATTTTACTTCTTCACTCACTAAGGAGATTAAGATGCTTCCTCATAGGACCCTCAATTTCCTTCCTTCCCAATGCAACATAACTCTCTGGAGCTCCATTTGATTCTTCTTTCTTGTCTCTTGGAAGAAAAATTTTCCTTCATATTTATTAAACACATATTTTTGAGACAGTATGATTTACAAGGCACCTTGCACTCATGGGTCTGTTTGCACATCTTCCAATTTTCTCCATCCTGTCCATCTCCTTCCTTAACAATCATGTCTTTATTCATTGCATCCTTGCCCTTGGTCTGCATGAACAAAGAAAATGAGTCTGTTACGATTATTATTTGGGGAGGGAGGTACCAGGTGTTGAACTCAGGGGCACTCCACCACTGAGCCCCATCCCCAGCCCTATTTTGTATTTTATTTACAGACAGGGTCTCCCTGAGTTGCTTAGGGCCTCGCTAAGTTGCTGAGGCTGGCTTTGAACTTGTGATCCTCCTGCCTCAGCCTCCCAAGCTGCTGGGATTACAGGTGTGCACCACAGCATCCAGCAAGTCTGCTAGTATTTTAACCTTTCTAGATGTGGTCCAAAGTGGGATAAGGTTGGTTTGGGAATCAAAGGCTAATATTTTCAGAAAAGATCACTTCATCTTTTCGGGAGGAATCCTCTCTTCTGTAGGGCAGGAGTTGATGGGATAACATTTATAGCTCTGCTTATCATTCTATGATTTTATGAGTTCCCCTCTTCATTTGAATTCAGAAACCAAAACCAATATATTAAATCTTAAGTAATTTGATATACTTTATTGCCTCTTGGATTTAATCAATAGACATTATTGAAAGCGGTGTGGTTTTTTTTTTAATTGCAAGGAAATAACATCCTTTACATGGAACATATAGCCCTTGAAGCTATGATGATCTTTCGTCTCATTAAAACATAATGAGAGAAAATCTGCCTTCTCATAATGAGGCAGAACTAAAAGGGCCCTTAGAACAATCAATAAAAGATTATTAAGACAGAAAATTTTTGTTAAAGAAGAGAGAGTGTATTTCCTTCTATGACTGCAGTATTATAATAATAGAGCAAGTTTAGTCGTCCTCACTTTAAAAGTGCTCACATCATAGATTTGGATCAAGGTTACTTTTGAATATTCTTTTTAAAACATGAAAACTGTTTACATACTTATTCAGTGAAAAAAAACGATTTAATTTTGTCCATATGTAGACACTCATCCATAGATTGCTTTATAATTGGATCTCAGTTTTCAAAAATTTTTAATGATGGAAAACTTCAAACATATAAAAAGAAACAGAGTGATCTAATGAGCCCCCTCGTCGCCTCCTTGTCTAGCTCCAACAATAATCAACTCACAGCCAAAGTTGCTCCTTTTATCTTTTTATACCCCCATCCTTAGGCTCTCAGAGGGATATATCATTTCTCCCTCAAATACGCTGGTGTGCATCTCTCAGAAATATTTAAAGCAAAAATATCACAGTGTCAGGCCCCATATTTAAAATGAGCAATAATTTAATATCAGCAGATAGTCACACATTTCTAAATGCCTCACTCTCCTAATTTTTCTTATAATAATCTTCTCAGATCTGGATTTTTAAAAAAAATCTGCACATGGTGATTGATATGTCACCTAAAAGCTCATCATCTGTAAATTCTCTCTCCCTTTCTCTTTCTCTCGTGCACGTGCCCTCTGTGGACACTTTTTAGTTTGCTGTTGCACTTGGTAAACAAGGTCTTTTCCTCTAGAGAGCTTTTCGGGGTCAGGGTTTTACGGATTTCGTCCTTATGGTGGGTATTATTTCACACACTCTCTCTCTCTTCTATATATATATTTATATTTTTTTTTTTTTTTGGTCAGTTGACCTTTGTACCTAACAACTGGCTCAAGTTCATGGTTCGATTTTTCTTTTTGCTTTTCCACCAAGAATGTCTCAAAATCGGTGTGGAACTCTTCCCTTAAAGACAGATTATCCTGTTGTTTCTCTTTTTTGTGATATCAGACATCATGGCTTAGATGGATTAGCTCATTTAGGGTCACGTCTTAGAGCTGCTGTCACAGAATACCATAGACTGGGCAGCTTTAAAAACCTAAGTGTATCTCAATGGGAAGTCCAAGGTCTAAGGTGCTGGGAGGGTAGGTTTCATTCTGAGGGACCTCGCCTGGCCGGTGGGCAGCTGCCATCTCACTGTGTGCTCTGTGACAAGGAAAGCAAGAGAAGAGCAGGTGCTCTGACACTTCTTCTAAGGACACGGATCCTGTTAATCAGCTCTCCCAGACATTATTGACCCTAGTTACTTCCTTGGGGGCTCTATCTTCAAACACAGACACACAGGGGGTTAAAGCTTCAACATATGAATTGGGGAGGCCACACAAACATTCCCAAACAGGTTACAAACCAGTGACCTTCTAATTCTATCATTCCTTTTTCATTCTAGTCTGCATAGTTTTATAAAGAGAATATCTGCTCTACCCTTTGGTCACCTACTGATAGCAATCTTTTTTTTTTCTTTTTTTGTACCAGGGATTGAACCCAGGGGTGCTTAACCACTAAGCCCATCCTTAGCCCTTTTTTAATGTTTTATTTAGAGACAGGGTCTTGCTGAGTTGTTGAAGTCCTCGCTGAGTTGCTGAAGGTGGCTTTGAACTCACAATCCTCCTGCCTCAGCCTCCTGAACTGCTGGGATTACAGGTGTGTGCCACTGCAGCTGGCCTCTGTAACACTCTTATAGAAACAAGAAGAAGAGAGGTGCACACCTGTAATCCCAGCAGCTGGGAAGGCTGAGGCAGGAGGATCTAGAATTCAAAGCCAGCCTCAGCAACTTAGTGAGGCCCTGAGCAACTCAGTGAGACCCTGTCTCTAAATAAAATATAAAGGAAAAGGGCTGGGGATGGGGCTCAGTGATTAAACACCCTTGGGTTCAATCCCTGGTACCAAGAAAAAAAAATGGTCAATCCTTTTCTTTTCCTTGGCAATTGTAAACAAAGTGGCTTGTTCTCTAGTATCCTCCAACAGTGACCAATTAGTTTTGTATGTTTCCTTTTCATGCAATTATGAACTTGTGGGTTTAAACCAGCCTTCTCTGTCTGTGTGGCTTGGGACAAATCACTTACCCTTTCTAAGCCATGGATTACCTAGCTTTGTGTTGGGGACAACATGGCACCTACCTCCCAAAGTTGTGAGATTTCAGTGACATGGTATCCGCAAAGCACCCAGTGCCTTGCCGGATTCAAACAGAAACAGCAGCCACGTTGTTATTCTTTCAATTATCATAAATACAGACATGAAATACGACTTTAGCATCTATCCTTCAACTGCTCCTCTCTGACTTCTGCTCTGAGATCTGAACTATTTTCCAGTATGAAAGATGTCATATGCTGCCTTTGAACTACCTGACTAAAGTCTGCTTCTTTGCCACTAAACAACCAGCCCAGTGCACTGTAGTAAGTTCCCTATTAACAGAGGGTGATTTGAAGACTGTGTGTCATATTTAAGAGGTGTGCACACAGACCGCCAGGTCAAGGATCAGAGTGATCAAAACAACTCCATGAATGCCTTCAAGTGAGAGTACAGAGAGGCAGTTTGCCATGAGCCGTTCAAAGGAAGGAGGGTGTGGGAAGAGGTTCGAATCTCCGTGCATGATTATTTGCATGTTTCAAATGTCTGATTCCTGGTTACTGCCTCCTTAGATCACGAGCTGAAGTGTGATACTCAGGACCTCTCGTTGATAAAGCACACACAAAAGTCCCCTCCCTAAAATCAATTTCTACTATTCTTTTAATGAGACTCTGTGCTTTTATTAAGGTAAAACGAGACTTTTTAAAAAAGGAGGGGGATGAGAGAAACATTTCTGTTCAATGATTTTTCCTGTCTGGTGCAAATACATTAATTGAATGGAGCCAATTGATTATGGATCAAATTTTTTTCCCAAAAAATAACTCTATGGTATTCTAAATTGCTTTCTGGGTATAAATACAACTCCAGCTGATGAAATATTTAAATGTTAAAGAAGACATTCTGAATGCACTGAATTCAACCAGGGCTGAATCCCAACTTGAATTTTACATTCTATTTGCAGAAAATGAGATATGGCAATCTGAGGTCTACTCTAAAAAATGAAGACGGGTAAATTAAAGGTTGTGACTTATCTTCATTTTTAAAAAATCCACATTACTGTGAAAGTTTGGTTTCTGGCAAGGCATACATCATTCCGGTACCTTCACGTGTACATTATTAAACTGCAGAACAGTGACTGTGCTGCTATTGCTCCTATTCCTGTCAAGCAGAAGTATAAAGTTAAGATGTTTATCATCAGTGATTTTCTTTAATGTGCTATGATATGGCTATGGAAATTGCACTAGTTCATTTTACATTGCTATAACAAAATACTCAAGGCTTGGAACTTTGTAGAGAAAAAAGGTTTATTTATTGCATAGTCTTGGAAACTGAAATTTCAAGCAGCACGAAACCAATGAGAAACACTTCCCCATCAGCCCCGGCATGGAGCTGGATCATGGATATGTCTACATCATAGCAGGAGTAACTGTGAACAGGCAAGTTGGGACACCAGACAGTAGATAGACAGTTTTACTCTCTTATAAAAACCTTTGCAAGAACTAACCAGGGTCCCACAAGAACTACTTTAATATCTCCCAAGGTTGATGTCCCCAATGACCAAATGACCTCCAATGAGGCTCCACTATTTAAAGGTTTCACCAGCCCCTACTACCCCCAAACTGAGGACCGAGCTTTGAACCCATAAACCCCGGAGGCACATACTGAAACCACACCAAAACCACAGCAGTGCACACAAAAACTCAAGAAGTCTCTGCTGTAAACATATCTAGGAAAACTGTCAAGTTCAAAATTACTTCTGTAGGCAAGAAATTAATTCCTAAGACTGTCTAACTAGGTGTCAGAAGAACGTTGTCAACTCTAAGGAGAAAACTATGGCAAATTTTATTTTATTATTCCATATAACAGATACCAGAGAATTGGAGCTGATTCATTTAAAGTTAATTATCTTTCTCAATCTGATGGAAAGATAAGTTGCACTTTTTACTCAACTAAGAACTGGCACTATATTTGAGCCATATGTATTGATGTATTTTGAAAATGTTTACCTTGATTCTAAGGGATGACTTTGCAAAATATTTTATTAACTAACAAACAGATCAAAACATTCTTCTACTTGTAGTTTCTATAAATATAGTAAATGTGGTTTCTTTAAATATGTTTAAAGTTATTAAGGACAATTCCAAAAAGACATGTATTTTTTTAACTTGAATTTTTTTTTATTTTAATTAAAGTTAGAAGTCTCACACAGCCTGAATTTACTTTGCTCTAGTTAATTAGAGATTGTCTAAATTTGTAATTTTCAGAAAATCATTTTTTTAGTTACAAAAGCCATAGCTCACTGGAATAAATTAAAATAATTCAAAGATAATTAAAAACTGAGATTCGGTCTCCACGTTTCACTCCTCAGTGGTAACAACTAATATTACTTCAGTGTTCTGTCTCTAGATCTTTGCCATGTCAGTGAAAATGTCAATGTGTATTTATACAAATATTTTATTTCACAAAAATGCAATACATCTATGTCATGCTTGGCAATTTATATATTTTTCCCTTTGGTTCTATAAGAAATTATAAACAGTGTTCAGTTTTCTACACTGCTATTCATTCTTTGTAACCATTATATAACATCCCATTGGCTGAATGCCTCTTCGTTTATTACTGTATTTTTCATAGGCATGAAGATTATTTCCAAAATTATTCTTACTATTTCAGACATGTGTTTTATTTTGTAGATTTGTGTCAGAATTCAAGCACAGATTAAAATTTCAATCCATGGGCAAAAGTTACATTTAACCAGTTTTACATGAGGCACACTATTGGCACTGTGTAGGGATAAAAGCAACTAGATGCTCAGTGGGTTTGAGCATGATGACTGGCTTTTATAAATTACCTTGGATGCTTGCTTTACTTCTGCTTTCTCCCTTCAGTTCCTGGTGGCAGGCCTTGGAGAATGACTGACTCAGCAGTCATTCCCTACCCTCAGCCCCTTGCCTATAGATCTCTTCCCTACAGAGCTCAGGAAAATAGAAGATTCACTTCCTAGTCTCCCAGGCAGCTAAATGCACCCAGGGACACAGCAGCCATTTTGTGACCATGAGGCAAAATACATAAGTACTGCAGATATGTTGGCTCAGACATCATTAATACCCTCAACTATCTAGCTCCGGACTTCCTTCTCTGTGTGAAAAACTCCTATTTAAGCCACTGGAGGTGAGACTATGTTATCCTCAAATACTTTAATTAATCCATCCCTCCGGCTGCAGTTTTAAGAAAATGAAAATACAATTTCTTTTTGTCATGTAAGTAATTTGGAGTTCCCCTTTCATGGGGCTTGGTCAGAATGCCCCAGTTGATGATGCTAATTTCCAATTCTATATGGCTATTTTTTAAAATCAGTGTATTATGGTTATATATAATATTGAGGTTCATTTTGACATAATTTTATAGCATGAACTATAATTTGCCCCAATTCAGGCCCAGGTCTTCCCCTTCAAGTGGCCTGGGTACTAACTTCCGGAGATTTCTACCTTGCTTTTTTTTGCCTTGTGTAGCTGAGCACGCTCCTGATGCTTGAGAAAGTGCCTGATGGATGGACTCAGACACGTGAGGGAGGAAGCCTCTCTGAAGCTCAGGTGGCCCCTAGAGAATGTGGGAAAGCCACCAACTACCCCTGCTGTGGTATGAAGAGAATAAGTACCGAGCGGATAAAGGAGTGCAAGAATGAATAATCGTATGCGAGAGAAATAAGCCTAAAGAAATGAAGGGCCCTGGCCCAGGGGACACCTGTGGTGGCAGAGTTGGGCAGGAGGATGGCAAATTGTGCAGATCTCTTCTCACCGAGGGGGAGGCCCCATGTGGGAGCCTGGCATTGGCCCTGGGGGGTATATTCACATTCACACTCTGGGAATTGGCAAAATGCTATAGGTCACAGCTGCAGCCCTGAAACCTAGTTGTGTCACACACAGCTTATTGGGAATGGGGGTGTCACTACTGGATCCCAATTCCTTCCTTACATCCTGTGGCCTTGTTTTAGTCAGGGATGTTTTTCTTTTTTCTTTTTTTCTGCTCTGACTACAAGACCTGACAAGTACGATGTTAGAAGGAGAAGTTTATCTGGGGGCTCAGGGTTTCAGAGATCTGGGTCCATAGACAGCAGGCTCCACTCCTCAGGGCTCGAGGGGAGGCAGGACATCATGGAGGAAGAGTGTGGTGGAGGGAAGCAGCTCACATGGTGATCAGGAAGCAGAGAGAGACTCCACTCTCCAGAGACAAACAGAGACCCCAAAGCCACGCCCCCAATGCCCCCTCCTCCAGCCACCCCCACCTGCCTCCAGCCACCACCCAGTTAATCCCATCAGGGGTCCATTCACTGGTTGGGTTAAGGCTGTCACAACCCAGTCATGTCTCCTCTGGACCTTCCTGCACCGTCTCACACGTGAGCTTTTGGGGGACACCCCACATCCACACCTTAATAGGCCCGTTAGGTCCAAGGCATCCTTCCTGGGGAGGGTTGTATGCCAGGCCCTGGAGATGGTGCCTGCCCTTCTCTGGCTTCATGCAGAATGAGGGCAAGAGCCATTAATCAGTCTTATTTCCTGTCCTCCTCCAACCAATTGTTTTCAACTCTGACTTGCAAATCAACCAGAAAGATTAATAGCATCTTCCACGGATATTTCTCATTTGCTTTCATTCCTTCCGAAGCAGGAGAGGCTTGCCCTTCTTCCCAGGGGAAAAACCTGTGGAGCCATTACCTGTGCAAAGACCATTCCCGCCCTGGCCCATGGTGGTTTATGGATGCCTGTTACGCTAGGAAATGCTGGGCCATGCTTCTGTTCTCTCTCACCTGAATGTATTTCTAATCAGGCTAACAAAGGAACTCTCTGTGGGCTAATTCTGTCCATTTTGAGAGTAATTTTTTTGTTGTTAGGAACAGAGTCATAGATCACCCCCAGACAGTGGTGAAAGGAGAGCCTTTGCAGGAGATTTATTTTGGTCTCTGACCTCAAGCGAGGTGACTGATTGGGCTAGTGGTTATGATGCTGATTATCTTTGGATGTGCTAGAGAGCGAGTTACTTTTTTGCATTGTTTGAATCTGGAGCTTGAGGAAACCTGGGAGCACAACGATTTGATAATTCCCCTGATTGGGAAGATGGGCTTTTGTCCCCAGGGTTGTACCTGTAGTGTCTGTGAAGGTGAGCGACACAGTTTCATTACTAGAAAGGTAGGTACAGATGTGCAGAGTCCAGATTTTGGAGAAAATGACACTCCCCCCCCCCCCCACACACACACACAGTGTTTTATGCCCCTCATCAAATTGTCTGTAGCCATTTGTTTTAGTCAGCTTTTTTGCCACTGTGATTAAATGACCCAACCAAAGCAACTGGAGAGGAGGAAAAGTTTATCTGGGGACTCTCACGGTTTCAGAGGTCTCCGTCCATAGACAGCAGGCTCCATTCCTCGGGGCTCGAGGGGAGGCAGGACATCATGGAGGAAGAGTGTGGTGGAGGGAAGCAGCTCACATGGTGACCAGGAAGCAGAGAGAGACTCCACTCTCCAGAGACAAATAGAGACCCCAAAGCCACACCCCCAGTGCCCCCTCCTCCAGCCACACCCACCTGCCTCCAGCCACCACCCAGTTAATCCCATCAGGGATCCATTCACTGGTTGGGTTAAGGCTCTCACAACCCAGTCATGTCTCCTCTGGACCTTCCTGCATGTCTCACCTGTGAGCTTTTGGGGGACACCTCACATCCCAACGATGATAACATGACAGAGCCAGCCTCCCATGGAGCTCTTTCTCCACCCCCCCCCCCCCCACCTTTTTTGACCCCAACCTCATCCTCTCATGCTTTTCTCCCTCTTCAGCTTTGGAGCACCTACCTCCAGTTTTCATTCCCTCCTGGCCACATAACCGAAAGCCAGCCCATCTCTCCCACTTCCCAGGAGGGGACACTTTCTGCCTGGCAGATTGACACAAGCCTTGCAAAACCGAGCATCCCAAGTGGCACAGACCTTCCCCTTTATAACATGGAGGGTCTCACAGCATCCAGCGTGGACCCTTTTTACACTGCTTCCTAAAATCCTCCACCCCATGGAGACTGATGATAGGAGCAGCAGGAGGAAGAAATGAAGCCCAGGGGATCGGAGGGAAGGAGAGGAGGAGGAAGGGCAGGAAGAGGGAAAGAGAGAACAAACCCCGTCATTTTGGTAGTGAAGGTGCAGGCACAGGCTGGTGAGATGCTCCGGAGAAACTCTGAGAACCTCGGGTCACTCAAGTACATGAGGTGCATTTCTGGACAAAGAAGACTGGACCGTTTGACAGTCAGAGCCAACTGGAAAAACAAAGATATTCTTCCTGCATTTCTAGAGCTAACTGGACACCAACCCAGGGAATCTGGAGACCCGGGTGCTCCTTCCAATTCTGCTGTTAGCTGAGCTGAGACCAGTAGATTTTCCTCTCTAGTTTCAGTTTCTTCAATAGTATAACAGTGATAACCATAGTTGTCGCCAGGCACGGGGGTGCAGGCCTGTCATCCCAGCAGCTTGGGAGGCTGAGGCAGGAGGATCGTGAGTTCAAAGCCAACCTCAGCAAAAGTGAGGCCCTAAGCAAAAGTGAGACCCTGTCTCTAAATAAAATACAAAACAGGGCTGGGGTGTGGCTCAGTGGTTGAGTGTCCCTGAGTTCAATCCCCAATACCTCCCTCGCCCCAAGGAAAATTTTTAAAAAATAACTATAGTTAGTGGTATAAGAGGAAGAAGAAAAAAGAAGATGAAGGAGAAGATTTATACATATATACATACATGCATACACACACCAGGTATTGGACCCAGGGGCACTCGACCATTGAGCCCCATCCCCAGCCCTTTTTTATATTTTATTTAGAGACAGGGTCTCACTGAGTTGCTTAAGGCCTTGCTAATTTGCTGAGGCTGGCTTTGAACTCATGATCCTCCTGCCTCAGCCTCCCGAGTCGCTGGGATAACAGGCATGTGCCACCATACCCAGTCAGGAGAAGATATTTTAACATTTGTTGAGGATTATGAGCCTGAGATGTTCTCTCAGTTAATATGGACAACAATCCTACAAGGTAGGCAGTGTCCATCTCAAACCCTTTGACCGTCCAACTACCAAATTGATGTTTTGTCGGCTTCTTGAACTTGTCACACTTTTCCTCCCTGAGGACTGTCACATAGGCTGCTCCCTCTGCCTGGGGCACTTCCTCCCCTACATTTTGCATGGCTTCCTCTTCTTTATCTTCTAGTTCTTATATGCGAAATAACATCCTTCCTATCTAGAACAGCTTCCCCTTCAATCATGATATAGACACAATTTCTAATGATTTTATTTGTATATTCTTTTGGGTTCTCTCTCCTTCAAGCAGCATTAAGCTCCGTGATAGCCAGAGAACTTCTTTACCTGTCTTCTCTGATGTGCTGATCTTGCTGCCCTCCAGCAGCGGGAATCCAGTTGAGTCAACCATTAAACATCTGCTGAAGGAACCAGTGGCTCAGCCCTGATTTAGCAGATGCGGCTACTGGGATTGGGAGTGTGGTAGGACAGGATGGGAACTTTAGGTGTGTAAGAGGTGACAGGCTGTGGCTCTGCACGCTCACACCCAGCAGCTCTGCTGACTGACATTTAACCAAAGAGGCCTGCAGTGGCTGACAGGTACCTGTGACAGATAACTGCAGTGGCAGATGCAGGAAACACAGCAAAGGAGACAGAACAGTCCCCCTTTTGTACAGTGAAAGTCCCTAAGCCATATGATCTAGGAGTCCCTAGGCTGTTGACAAGCTTGTACAATATAAAAGGAATGTAGAATGCACCCTCCAATAGACTTGCACCAACCCCCGGGCCTTAATGTCCCTCAAACTCACTTATGTATAAGTAAAAGCTCTGCTGTGCTCGGGGCTCAGACTTTGGGAATTATCCCTCCTGGTCTTGGCACCACTAATAAAGTGTTGCTTCTGGATCTTGCTGTCCTGACCCTCATTTTCTGCTACAGGAGAAATATAGTAATCTACCCAGTGTCCTCTGGCTAGCAATTGGCTCCAACTTGAATCTGCCTAACTCCAGAACTGCTCTGCTCTGTCACTTGGGGTGAAGTGCTGGGTGGGGATTGGAAGGGGAACTGGTGGGAAGAACTGCTTCTGTTTCCTCCCACTTTACATTGGCTCTGCAGCACTAAGAGAATCTCGACAGCTACCCCAAGAGATATGTGTCCCTATTGCCTTGATGGTTCTATTTATAGGACCAGACCCCCGGCTGATGCCTCTGGGGGAGCTGATTTCACTCTCTCAAACAAGGAATCCTCGTCCCTGTAATGAGTTAATCACTCAGCAGGATCTTACTCTTCCTGTGTTCCGCAGACATTATCTGCTTAATCCTCACCCAAACCATGTGAATTTCATGTGGGTCACACAGTATGATTTCCCTTTCATCAACCTGAAAGCCACAGGTATCACATTTACCTGGAGTCTAATGCTTTGTGTTCTCAAAGCTCAATAAAGGCTCCAAGAAAAAAAAAAAAATAATGGTGTACATGGTTTCAATAGTTGGGTGCCTCCTTTCCACACCTGTAACTCTTTGAACAAGTTAAATACATACTTATCATTCCCTCTTAAGTTTCACGTGGCGGTATTCATCAGACCCTGCTACCTAATACACAACTTTAATATGAGATGAAAAGCCAAGGCAGTGTCTACATAGCTATTAAGCACTGAAATGAACAAGATTCATCTTCATCTTCTTGAAATTGGTGTGGTTTAAATGCCCCCCAAGGGATTTTTTTTAAATGCAAATTTGTGAAGTGGTTAAGTGTGATTAAGTGATTATTCTATTTCTATTTTCTATTCTGATTTTTTTTTTTTTTTTTTTTTTGGTACCAGGGATTGAACCCAAGGGCATTTAACCACTAAGCCACATCCCCAGCCCTTTTAATTAATTTATTTATTTTTGAAACAGGGTCCCATTAGGTTGCTTAGGTTCTGGCTAAGTTGCTGAGGCCGGCTTGCGATCCTCCTGCCTCAGCCTCCCCCAAGCTGCCTGCCATACTTTTAACATAGGAATATTAAGCTTCACACGCTCATCACAACACTGTTGTCATTAGAAAATATGATCATATGTGTTACGTGTTGGGCACAACAACTGGCCCATCAAAGGGCCACAGTGGTCAATGCCACCTCATGTACTTCTTTGGATAACTTGCCTGTTACACACTGAAGGTTCTTACCCTGAGAAATGCATATATGTAAATATCACACAAATCTCTCTGTGAATTAGGAGAGGGTGGCACATAAGTATATATTCCTCTTTTTTAATTCTAGCAAGCTGCGTGTGGTGGCACACACTTGTAATCCCAGTGACTTGGGAGATTGAGGCAGAAGGATCACAGGTTCATGGTCAGACTCAGCAACTTAATTTTCTCAGCAGTTGAGGGAGGTTTATAAAATGACCCTGTTTTACAGATTAGGAAATTTAGAGCCAGAAAGAGTTCTCTCTACAGCTATAGTCCAGGGCTTCAGACTCCATGGTAATTTCTAGAAGAAGTCTTACCAAAAATGCTATTTTGACATGGTAGAGGGGGTGGGATATCCAGTATTATATGATGAAATATATATTTAACTACTGAACAAGTAAAATCACTTTCTCCTTATTCCCCATTCCTACTGATACTGAAATCATTTGGCCATGAAAAAAATCAGCAAATCTGCACCCCAGGGACAGAGATGGGGGTCCCCTTCAGCCTTGGTGTTCTGTACTTTATTCCCAGATTATGGAGTGGGCTGGAGTGGCCTCTGAATGCCTGTAACCCTATGGGTTAGGTAGACTATGAAGGAAAGCAAGCACTCTGAAAAAAATCTGTTGCTAGGATGTTGACTCCCGGGAGCTGAGGGTTGTGTGGATTTGCCTAGGGAGTGAATCCAAATTTCCTACCTTTTGGCCTGGAACAACTTATCACAGCACCTACTATTTACAGTAATAATGTTTGCTAATATTTGTTGAGTGCTAACACTGTGCAGGGAGGATCTGTTCTAAATGCTTCACACTCATTAGCATATATGAATATATCTTGCTTTCTACATCTAATATATATATATATATATATATATATATATATATATATATATATAT